GGGATTTCTGGATGAATAACAGAAACCTGGCTCCATATATTGGCCTGCAGATGTGCATGCATTATATGCTGATATAAGGCTCCTGCAGTTGGTGGCAGCTTATCTACACCTTGATTGTTTGAATTGGCGGAGTTTTGAATCTTTTCCATCGTAACATTGAGGCATTTTAGCAGATACTTTCTTCGTTCAGAGAAGACTACACAAAAACTCCTTGCATCCCATTCTCACATTAAATGATCCCTCCTTGCATCCATTGTCACATTAAATGATCCAAAGCTTGGCCAAAGTATGTAAACATGAGGTGGTGATTTCATAAACATCTTAAGGGCTGTTTTTTTCCAACACCATTTATATGCCCTGTAATAATCAGGCTCGTATCCAGGGGGTTTTATGGTTCAGGAGAACCCTCCTTTTCTAGCAAACCTCCCTCATTTCTGGCGAACCCCCCTCTTCAGATTTCCCAAATAAGTCCTCCAACCCACCTGGTGCACTGCAGACCCACCCAGACCTTTTCAAACATATCTGCTTTTAAAAATCCCAATCCCCTTGCTTTGGGGATTTCGCCGACCCCACCGGGGCTTCGACCGTGGACCTCACGCCCGGAAAACCCCACTTGAAAGAACCTGGCTACGGGCCTGAAAATTTTTATCACAACCGGTGATAGCATGGAAGCCTGGTGGTGTCACTGCTCTTTCTGGTCCAAGATGATCGTATATTGGCTGAAGAGCCACTCTTCTTCTGGTTTCAGCGGTATCTGTCACAATTCACACGGCAAGATGTCAAAACAAACACTCAAGAGCATCCTCCAACAACAGCTGTAAGCACACAAGAAGAAGCTGATACTCTAATGATTCCCCATGGCATAGAAGTGGCCTCTGAATCTGGAAATGATACAGACTGGTTTGTATTGATCTTCAGAAGACTTCACAGCTTGGCATGAACACTGGAATTTATGTAGTCTTCTCGTAACGAAGAAAGTATCTGCTAAAGATGCCTCAACTTTACGATGGAAAAGATTCAAAACTCTGCCAAACAATCAAGGTGTAGATAAGCTGCCACCAACTGCAGGAGCCTTATATCAGCATATATTGCGTGTACATCTGCAGGCCAATTATATATGGAGCCAGGATACTGTTATTCATCCAGAAATCCCTGATCCATGCAAACTGGGCTGGGTTATGGAAGATGGTAAATTGAGACCTGTCTTGTCAGAAAAGCAGGCTGCCCCTGAAACAATTGTTGAGGTTATCAGATGTACCTGTTCAATATGTACATGTTCAAATAATACATGCACGTGTAGGAGAAATAATCTTCAGTGTACTGAGATGTGAAACTGCGAAGCGGAAGTGAGTTTCTGCAACAACTTTCCATTTTTGTCGAGTGTTTCTAATTCATCAGACAGTGATAGTGATGAAGAAAGTGATAATGAACATTAGCATATTATAAAATCATTGATGTAGGTAAATTTAAGTACTGTAACTCAAAGTATGTAATATGGTTACATAATACTAACACACACACACACCCACACATTATATATATGTATATGTATATATATGTATATATATATATATGGATATGTATATATATTATATATGTATGTATATGTACATATATGTATATATGTATGTATATATATATATGTATGTATATATATATATATGTATATATATATATATATATATATATAAATTAAAACGGAACAGTAGAGAAAATCCGATCAGAATGACAAAATAAACAAAGCATCCACTGGAAGGAATCCCAATATCTGCAGACGGATCCGTTTCAGCCTTCCAGGCCTCATCAGTGCAGCTAGGGTATAGACCCAAACGAAACGTTCGACCAGCTTAGGTAGGGCCCAAACTAGTGCCACGACCACTAATGATTACAGAGCCAAACCAAGGCAATATTATATACACAGCCCAGGTGTGGATGCAAATAGTGGAATAAAAGCTATGTGGCTCGATTCCAGTAGATGCAGAGAATATTTTGTCATTCTTAACGCGTCCTACTAAATTCTTACGAGACAGCACTAGTCTACGAATTTGTGAACAAGATACACATTTTATTTTGTCATTCTGATCGGATTTTCTCTACTATTCCGTTTTAATTTTAAATAGTTTTGCATTATATGGCTGTTTGCTGTTTTATGGGTTTTTCCCATTTGCCTTTCAAAA